TTATAAACATTAAACATGTGCTATTAACCACAGTCGGAATGCAATTAAATTATTAAAATATTACGTTGAGACATGTCTCTTCCATACATATAATTTTGGTTATACCACACTACGTCCCCCGTTTACCTTGTCATACGCCCGTCATCAATAGTGAGACACAATTCAATATGTCTCGTCTGATTTGATGGCGACAACGGAGCGATTACGGTATAGATAAGATATAAATAAAATTATACTATATATATTTAATCATACTCGTTACTCATAGACACTTTTGAGACGAATCAGTGTTAATAACATTTTATTTATAAAATTATGAAGAAATAAAATACATATATAGTATAGGTATCATATTATAATAAACAACTAATTTATAAAATTAAATTGTTTGATATTTTTGGGTAGACAATGAGACCTAACCTAACCTAACGCGCCGCCACTGAATTGGTGAGCAAAAAACAACTAATGGCCACATAAAATTACTAATTAATTAAAAAGAAAACAATGCGATTGCTATTTAAATTTGGTATACCTAAGAATCATTTTATAAGGCTGTTAAAAATGTYAGTTAGTTTATATTAATGTTTTATATATTTAAAGTACCTTACAATTATTATTTAAAATAGATCTAGATTTTTGTAAGTCAAAAAAATTTATTTATAACTAATGAAAACTTATTATTTAACGCTTCTAACGTTGTAAATAATTTATTATATTTTTTCAAACAACTTTTTGTAATGAACTCTATTTTTTAATATCATTTATGTGTAAACTAAAAATTTAATTTTATATTATCAGCTTTTGTGAAGTAAGATAAATTAATTTTGAAATAATGGTATTGAATATTTGTTTTTTGTTCTTTTAGGTATCCCTTATTAAGGCGGAAACAAGAGCATCAAACATCTTTGATAAAATAAAAAATTATACACGACCAGTGAAAATTAATGAAGAATCCAAAGTTAATTCCAATAAAAATATAGAGCTCCCGCCTATAATTACAGCTTCAGATCTTATTCAAGCTCAAATAAAAAATAAAATGCCAGAGCCAAAAATCAAAAGAGGAATTAAACGAGATCATTTGCAGCAGCAGTCAATGAAATCATTTGTATTTCCAACCACTACTACTTCTGTAACAGAAAATGAGGAATGTGCTACAAAAAAACCTAGAATAGAGAATACTGATAGTGACATGGAAATATCTTCAGATGATGAAGTTCATATTATAGAAAGTACTAATATAGATGAACCTCCCAAACTTCTCTCGCAATCCATACTAGAAGATTTATATCCTGATCAGCAAACACCCTGTATATTTGAACCTAAATTCATGGAACAATTCTATTATCAAACTACATCAACTAATATACAAGTACCCAAAATAGTAATGGCTTCTGACTTATTAAAAAGTAACCACGAATCTAGTTCAACATTTGAATCATCTAAAAATTCATTAAATGTTAAAAGTGACTTTTTAGGTATGAATAATATGGCACCAATCATACAAGACCAAAAAATTCTTCTAACACCTAATAACACATGTCCAAATAGTATAAAAATGAATGAAAATGGTCTTTCGCGTATTCAATCCAAAATTATCAAACCACATATTTCAGAAAAAGACGTTTCTGAAATTTTTAGAGAAATTTCAGAAATTCTAACTACTAGTAAACCAGAAAATGATAAAAATTTAACTGTACAACTAAATGAACTTCCAATACAGCAAAAGCAAAAAGATATAAAACGATCATCAATCGAACCTAAATTACCGGTTAATAAAAATGTTGAAAAATCTACAACAAAGAAAATGAGTAGTCTTTTTGGTGAAGATAGTGATGATGAAAGTAAAACAGCATTAGTTGATGTTAAAAAAAAATCCTTAGGTGTCCGACTTGGTATGTCAACAAATTTTAATAATACTACCAAGACAAACAAAAATTCACACGAATCAATGAAAATAACCAAAAATAAGACTGAGGATCCTATTAACAAGCAAAAAAAATTTGAATTGTCAGATCTGGTTGTAAAATTATTGAATCCTTACTACAAAAATAGTTTATTTAAGACTAAAGAATTATTTAAATTTCTGGCAAGAGAAATTGTTCATAAATTATTGGAGTCTACTAGTCATCCAGGTAAATTAATATATTATATAATATGCAAGTAACAGGGTATACCTTTATTTGGGTGGGTAGATATTGATAAAAGGAAAATTGTACATTTTATCATTAGGTGTAACAATATTATGAGAGGTAGGTTACCTATTTTTAGAGTAACTTTTTTTTTATATGTCACTGATGCAAGTAATCAAGTGGTGTGTTTAAAAAGTCTATTACAAAAATAATATTCAGTGATGTTTTAAAGAAAAAATGGAAACTTTTTCATTTWGAGGAGTTTATACCCGCATGTGTTGTCTTTGTCTTACAAGTGCATAACAATAAATTTTACGTTCAGCAGATCTTGTTTAGTTCAGTTAGTTTAAAAACTAGAGTGAATTGACTTCTTTTACGATTTAAAGGTAAGAATAATATCTAGACCAGTGTTTCTCAACCTTTTTCCTGTGACAAACCTCTTTTTAATTTCAATTTTTTAGCGACCCCCTACATATATTTTTGCATATACTCGCATAAAATATATATTAATTTTAATATATAATTTGTATTTKAAATATTTTAATCAAACGCGACCCAAAGTCTGAGAAACATGATCTAGACAACCTCATTGTCTTTTTATTATATGTTAATTTTGAAGCAAGTTATAAGTATTTTCAGATCTACGAACAATTACAATTTTAATATACTTATAACTGGCTTCAAAATTCAAGTATAATAAAAATTCCACGAGGTTGTCTAAATAATACTCTTACCTTTAAATTTTATAGGAGGTGAATTCACTCTAGTTTTCAAACTAATGGAGCTAAATAAGGCCGGCTGAGCATAAAATTTGCATACTCTTAAATAAATATAATATGTAATAATAGGTAGCATTAATGTTTGATATGATTTAAATAATTAAATCATGCATATTGTTTAAATTGAAATTTAACTTTAATTATTTATTTAAAAAGAAATATTTTCATAGTTAAGATCAATTATTAACAAGTTATTTAAGTATATTTGACTTGGTAATTTAGTTATTATCACATAAAGGATAATTTTTTTTCAGAAGAGCAAAACATCAAATTAATTATCAGAAAATTATTCCCGAAGGAACAGAAAATAAAAATTGAATCTGAAGATCAAATTTTGAAGTTGTTAAAATCAATTCCTTAATGTTTCATATTCATATGTAATTTAATTTTATAAATTGTTGATATTTTTGTTGAATGTCGTGTTTGTTCCTTATAATTTTATTTCAGTAAGTGTTATCAGATTTAAGTGATAATATTAAGTTTATTTTTTATATATTTTTAATTTTATTTTAATTTGCTGAAAAAAAGACTTATATTAGTTTAATTTAATTAATTTTTTTTTGTAATATAAAAGTTAATATGACAACTTTAAATATTTCAATAATTTTCTAAAATAATTGTAATTTATTWAAAAAATTGTATTATTATTATGTGACTTGAAGTTTGAATAGTTTGTTATTATTTGTGTAATATATCAAATTATACCTATTCATAGGTAAATTGGTAGTCCAGTAATTAATTTATATTGGTATCAATTACTTATATACCTTTACATCTGTTCATCAGTTATGTTTACATATCTATGATAGTATGATGTGATTTAATAAAAATAAAAATCTTTCATCAAATAGTTAATTTTTTTAACATAAATATTGTGAGTATTATCCATAGACATAAATAATATTATCTACATCTGTGTCTATTATATAAGCAATATTATCATAAAGTTAATTTTCAAAGCTTGTAATTTTATTTTATCTTAGTCTATTTTGTCTAGTCTTATATTAGTCTATTATTATTACTCTGAGGTCTATGCTTGTACATGTAACTGTAAATTTAAAATGTTAGATTCATATGAATGCTGATTTGGATTTCCTATTTCAATTATTCAAATTAGTCTAATATTTGATGATGAATTTAAAGTTTTTTTTTTACCATTTGTAATACCATATTTTTAATAGAATATTATTAATTACAATATAGGCTTAAATATATAGGTCAAATGGAAGTATTTATGAGTATCACAAATTATTATTACCAAAAGTTTACAATTGATGGTAGGAAAAAAGTCTCGACAAAAAAGAAAATAATTATAATGTAGCTAATATATAAAGCAAAAGATGTATTTAAAAAATAATAAAATAACTATTAAAAAGAAATAGCTTTTCAGGAATATTTTTACAAAATAGAAAAAAAATAAATATTTATGAAAAAAAAACATTGTATGAATTATTATGGATGTAACTTAATATTTTGGGCTATAGCTTATAAAAATCTTGGAAACAAAGTTTTATTTAAAATGTTTTATAAGATTTTTTTCCGTTTCCGTTATAACTATGGACTAAATGTTCATAAATTCCGTGCTACAATTCTCCATTTCTACACACTATGACTTATAAGTAAACGTAACACAATCGTAACTTTCTATCTAATAGAGGATTCCCAGAAAATATAAATAAGTACTCAATGTACGAAATAACAAGTATTCTAAAAGTTTAAAATGTCCGTTGTCGACGCATATTTATATACTAGGTACCTAACTAACGTGTATAATTTATCAATATGTTGGTTGTTGAACTTTTTTGTCATTAAAAATTAATATGCTAATAAAATATTTTTAAAAAGAATGATTTAAATACTTACGTTTTGTGTGACGTTCTGTTTTTTAAATAAAAATAAAATAAAATAAAARGTTTTTTTAAAAGCTTTAAAAAGTTCAGGACAAAATTTGAAATTAAAACAATGACCGCAGTTTGGCGCATTTTTAAAATAAATTTACTCAAAAACAAAAACAAGAACTACTCGGTGTWGCCAACTACGCGGACGTGAACCGACTGTTACTCTATACTCGCATTCACTGTAACCCGGACGATTCAAATATTTCAAACATAACCTTCAAATTGACGTAYTCCATCTTTCTAATTTGTATTTCACAATTTCGCATTACGTTCACGTTGGGGACATCAAAAAGAAACTTGGATTTGGCGTTTCCAACGTTTCACCCTTCATCATGGTAAGTAAACTGAATTTATTAAACGTTTGAATGATTATTAATATTTGATTTGTCTAATAATTCGCTGTGGCTGAACGTCCGAGCAATGTCTATGATAAATTCGAAATAGCGCAACAAATATATTCGTAATACTTAAACTAATGCCACATGTTTTGTTATTGTTTCCAGTCGTCGAAGAAGACGTTTAAGATCAAGCAGAAGCTTGCTAAAAAGATGAAACAGAATCGTCCCATCCCTCAGTGGATTAGGATGAGGACTGGAAACACTATCAGGTATAATTTATTTTATTTACGGTATTTAAAATCTTCCTTGGTCCTTTGGTTCTGCTTACATGATATTTGCATGTTAATTTTTGGCGATATTACCGATGATGTTTCATTTTTTATTACTTTCATTCCCTATTTCACATTGTTCAATTAATGTTCATTTACCTACACGTAAGTTTTGCACTTGATTGATTTCATGTTGGTGTTATGGCGTTTTGCTCATTTTATGGTTTTTTTATCTCTTRCAAATAATTAAGTGCACAATTAGTATCATGCATTGCAATGTTAACATATTATGTATGGTGGCAGATTTTGACTGCCTTACCCACAAATAGATCTTTACTTAACAAAGAATTATTTTGTATATTAGTTCATTAAAAGACTAGACAGTAGTTATCAATTGCCATACAAACMATTGGTTCTCAACAAGCAAACCACTGACACCCACAGATTTATGCATTTTTTTATTGACACGTTCTTAAACATTTTAAGATATGATTTTAATTATGTATAAAACTATGTAATAATGCATGCTAAAACTAGGACATCATATTATCCTTTCCATGTCGCCAAATGTTGCCAACGATAAGTACTTGCYATTTATCCTGAAAAAGAGAAAGAGATAACACATTATTGTTATCTCTTGAAATATTGTTAAGTACATTTATTAGATTTAATGTTTTGATGGTTGATAAGTTGGTTTTGTATTTTATTTGTTACATAATAAATATTATATTTCAATGAGAAAAAATTTTGACAAATTTTAAATTTTAAACCCCCAAAATGTTATCTTATTCATTTTAGAATAAGTGATTTTACTCTTCGAGTATTACTTTAAAATATAAAAACACAATATGAAATAATTTTTTGTTTTTTGCGTCAGTCAAAACTAAATATAGTGTAATGATAAATTAAGATAAATTTTGACCTAATATGATTTTTTGTAAAAATAATTTCATTGTTATTTTAATTTATACTTGAATAATGTCATAAATGTTTATTTAATCTAACTTATTTAATTCACCATAAGCAATTTTCTCATTAGTGCTTTGAAATATACGTAAATRTCATAAAGATAAAATTATTTATTAAAAACTTATTTTCGTCGACAWTTCTTAGTTTGAAAAGTTATTTAAGTAGCACCTACTTTCCTAGTCTATAGACTACATTTTTAATTGTAATAGTGGTTGATGTTAATATATTAGGATGATTAGGTGTCTAATGTTCAAGTGTGGTTATTTTATGTTTTGTTTATTGCAAGTATTTTTCTGTTTAAACATTTAGTTACATTTAGGTAGACACATTTGCTAATTTTACATTCCACTGTGACATCTCAGATTGAAACAGTGGAAACCAAATGCTGGTAACTCATTAAC